AGCTAAGCCAACTGGCTGCTGACTACAGATTCATATTTAATGGACTCATAAGAAAGTGGTATCAATCTCCATGCATGTGTTGTTCACTGTGAATCCCTTGTGCTTGTGTAGGCAATTTAAATATGGCGCAGGGGGCACCGGGGGGGGAAATTTAAGTGTTTTGGCTTGTTTTGGATTTTGGGAAGCTGTCATGTCATCCATCTTTTATATGACACAGCAGTGCATTGAGCTGTGATGAGATTTGCAGATATTGGACAAACTGAAATTTTGAACTTATGATGGTGATAAATGAAAAGTCTGGATTCCTTCCAAACTTGTACCAATTCATCTTGAGGCGGAACGAAATCCATGGGTCGATCCATCCAATACTTGTTGTGATATTTCTGTCTGGACCAAAGTGGTGGATCAACTGACATTGCCTAGAGCCACACTGAAAATATTAAGAGTGGATTATAACTTTAGAGGTATAATCTGGAATCCAGCAAACACATTACGGATGGGGGCTTTAATCATAATGACAAACACTGCTGCTGCTAGTCAGGATTTCGAGTTTTCATGAGACTACAGAGCTGGAAGAGGCCAAAAGCATCTGTGCTCACACTGCAGGTGCATCAGCCAAACGCTCTCGAATCATCATATGCAGATGGGAACAGTTTGAAAAGTGCTGCCAAACACAGACCAGCTGTATCAACAGAGAAGAACTTTTGGTCACACGCTGAAACTAACCAACAGGGATATAGGAGAAGATATCATATACTGATAATTAAAGTCTTTGTTTTTCTTATTTTTTAACACTTTTTCAATAATATACCTGCTGGTTGTGTTTGTTTTCTGTCCTTTATCTGCTCTATTATTCACATTACCTTTTTTTTGCTGTATCCTGCAGCTATGTGATTTCCTCACCAGGACTAATCCAAATGTGAGGGGGCAGTTTCTTCCAAATGTGAAATGCTGCAATAAATCTGTAAATTTTTTATTTTTCTTGTTGTTGTTGCTGCTGATGACAGGACGAGAGAGCAGCCTGAACTCCTCAGGAAAACTCGGCAGGTGGTGCTGGATTGTAGCCAGGAAAAGACTGATGGTGCGGTATTCACACACCACGCTGGAGGTGTTTGACACTAACATCACAAGACAAACAAACGTGCTAAAATCCCACCTGACGAAGAGGGTCGTGCACTGAAGAGAAGATTTAAAAAGGTTGCTCGGGGTCTGTCTGCTGTGTTGCTGCAACACAATGACGATAGCTTGCATCAGAGGATTAGATATTTTGGGTGGATGTCAATCTTCTACTGGATAATAAACTGAGAGCTGTCTATTCCCTGCACACCATCATCAAATAATTATGACAGATTACATTATTAATTAGGTAAACAATATGAAAAACAGGATAAAATATGCATGCTTTGTTACAAATTCATATGAGTCCATATTTAGAGGAGTGTAATGTCGTTCGAGGAAGAAAAAAGGTCAAGGTTTGTAACCAGTCAGCTTACGTTATGCAAAAACAAGCAAAAAGCCTTGAAATCCAGCGAAACACTGGTCACAACAGAAAGGTCAGCCATCGTCTAGACAGCTCTCTCCTGCTCCACTAAACCTGACTGCTGTGCTGAAAGAAATGCTGCATGATTCCCGCTGTTGTCTTCTTGTAGCCTGTGTGATTTTATAAAATATCACCCGTTCTCTTTCAAAAGACCTGTTTCTTTTTCCCTGTGAAGCTGTGAACCATTCAAACAGGACTCAAGAGGTCATCTGTAAAGTTAAATGTGCTGGTAGTTCTGGATCGTACAAGCTTCTACTGGCCACCTGTTATACAGAGAGGATTTATTTATGAAAGGCTTTACGCTAATGTTCAGAAACACATTCACACTGTTGTAGTGTTTACGCAGAAGCAGCAAAACTAAGGAGTCCCTCTTGTAGCTTTTCACAAATCTTGAGCACACCACTCACGGGCCAAATTGGATATTATAATAAATCTCTGTAGAGTCTAATCCCAGTTGGCCATTCCCAGTCGACATCTGGATGCTGCTTGTAAGCACAGCTCTGTTTCAGTCACAGTCAAGGTTTGTGTCATAAGGTTAGCTGCATCAGTGGTTCTCAACCCTTACGGTGTCAAGGACCCCCAAATTGATCAGGCCACAGACCCGTGTTTGAAGATGTAATCTCTGGGATCCCCATCTGTCAAAATGGACTTTTTCCATACATGTCTATTGGCCTAACTTCTAGTCAATAAAATAATAGTGACATTTAAATATTCCCAATTTAACTTTTTTTGAAAACGGGTTCCAGAGTAATCTTTTGGAAATTTTACCCTTACCATCACTGCGCAAACTGGCATTTGCTGTGAAAATGGTGACGATGCGGCCCCACTTCGCACTTGACTATTAAGTTTTCTGCCAAATAGATTTTTAGAATTCGTAGTTTTAGAATTGAGTTGCAAAGGTACACTGCCACTTACTGGCCTGGCATGCATACTACAACATTTTCAATCGTTTTTGTGGATCTGTGTGCTTTTTTAAAACACAAAGCAAAACCATTGTTGTGTAAACGCGTGTGTGCGCTCATTTTACACATAATGTATCCACACTAAATGAGATATTAAATTAATATTAAATATTTTATTTGAAAAAATATGATGATAATATTCTTAATTATAACACAACAACTCAAAAAGATGATGATAGCTAAACCTGTGAAAAATCAATCTTAGTGCCTGTTTGTAAGTATATTGCGATGAAGTAGTGTTAATGGATGAAGGTTGAGGCACTGATTCATCTCATCTCTCCTTCTATTATATATTAATAGCTGGTAGCGGCAGTTGCATCTGACACAGACGACGGGTCGGCAACACTTTCACTCTGTAATGCTCTAAAGGATCGGCCTCCGGTTTACCGCGTCAGTTTGGTGGCAGCCTGTCAATGCCTGCTGAAATTCCCTTTGGCTTTTCCCTTTATAGCAGCCTAGTACTGAGACAGCAGATGCACCAGGGTGAACCAGAGTTTCACACTGCATAGATGTGAAAGCCATCTAAGGTTGCATTTTAAAGATTTTTTTCTAGTTTTTGTGGGATTTTTTGTTGACCTTGTACCAGCTTCCCCCAGATGATACTGAAGCTATAACTGCTAGAAACTGCATGTATTCACTGTCATCATACTGAGCTTAGTATTGTAGCGGTCAGCCATTGTGAAAGTTTCTCATGTCAAAATGTACAAATGTAAAAGGATTTAGACATAAAAATACAAGAAGTCCTTGTTTTTTGTAAAAGTGTAAATTCTTTGACATTTGCTGTAAGCATGTGTTACAAATGCTTGAATACAGGGTTTTGAGAGAAATATCAGTCTATCCCCTGTTCCCCAAGTCTCTCCTTTTCTCTCTTTTCAGTCTGAGGTGTGGGAGTCCTGACTGAAAAGCAACAACCTGTACTTTGATTCCAGGGACATTCAGCAGACACCTTTAAAGTTCAGCTTTAGTACGCCATTTCCTGATGTCTGGCACACTCAAACACACACACACACACACACACACACACACACACACACACACACACACACACACACACACACACACACACACACACACACACACACACACACATCTGAGATCAGTAAGTTGCACAAACACACACAGAAGTGAGCAAAACTCCTCGTCCAGCAAGATTCGATCTGCAGACTTCTCTGCATTCTGTGCCAGTCTAAGCTCCAACTCTGAGGATTTCAGTACATTGTATTCAGCTCCTCTGTTTTATATTTGTCTAAACTTCGGCCTTTTGTTATTCCTTTCCAATATGAGCATTTTCTGATTTTCTTGATTCAATGCGTATGTGACCAACAGTGTTCTATGGGTAGTTTGTTACTTTTTTGTACATTTGGAGGCCATTTGTGTATCTACTGAGAGAGATTGTGTAATGTGGTTCAGAGCTCCATAACAACTACAAAATTGACTTCGTGGTGAAATTGATTTGTTGTCTGAAACTTCTTGGTTAGGTCAGGTCAGAGATGGTCAAGGTCAGAAAAAGATAATGATTATGGCTGTAAGAAACAAGCACTGGTGGGTGATGGGATGCAAACAGCAATCTATGATCAAAAGTCAAACACTCTAAAGGCCCAATGATCCACCGCAACCTCCTCAATAAGAAATGCAATTTGCTAACCAGGGGTAGCTTGTTAGGAAAAAGTCCTTTTAAGAATTTTACAACAACAACAGATAATGCAAAAAGTTACATATTGTAAAATATGACTAAATAGTATTACTGTTTATTCAGAACCCTTATGAAAACCTTTATATATAGTATCAGCTTCAGTCATAAGTGATGTTATATTTTCTCCAAACTGCATAAAGGTATTTTTGTGTGTAAGGAATCAATATAGTTGCTTCCCCAAAAGGATTTGCTCTAAGTCATTTCTTATGCTGACAGTAATTGCAGGTTTTTACCCTTCTTTTGCTGCACTGCTCATGCATTCATTTACTTAATTTGCTTGTGTGTGCATACAGCAGACTCTAGGACATAAATATAGCTTTATATCTCACCTAAGCTACAGGATGTCTCAGACATGTCAACATGGATATGTACGCTTCGCTTCCGTTAATGGGATTCTGCCAAAGCCGTGCGTGTACTAAGTCATATTTCAGTTTGCGTGCAATTACCCCTTAACCTCAATAATGTAATGGCTTACTGGGCTTCCCAGGCAACTATTAATCTCTAAAGCTACTTCATTAGCAATTATACATGAAGGAGAAATTGCGAGTCAGGTAGTTGTTGAGAAACAAACATTCCTGTTAGCTGACACTGATGTTTGTGAGGGAGAAGGGCACGGGGATTGCAGTGTGGAGCATTAGCTGTGGGTCACATTCAGGACTTGGCTCGTTATTTCAGTTCACCTGCAGCGCACCTCAGACTCCTTGATTAGCCTGACAACTGGCTGCTTGTCCATCAAAATGTGCTCTCTGGTCTGATGAAAAGGTTTGGGTGGTAGAGGCCGTAATGGATTTGGGAAGGACAAAAATGGAAAGTGAGCGGACATCCAGTAATTGTATTGCCAGTGTGCTCAGACCTGTTGGCAGCACTCTGTGATTAAAGAGTCCAGCTGGCAGGAGACAACAAAGGAGAGGATGCAGCCCTTCTGCCAACTTTTGTCTTGGAATTACAGCAACATTATGTAACTTTTCTACCTTAAAATAACAGCTTCAAAGTCATTTTGATGTTGTAATAGGGTGAACTGTGCCTCTGTCATTCCCACTCTTTCTTTGTGCCCCAGCGTCATGCCAGAACCAGAGCCGGGGAGAGCAGGCATTGTAACGGGCCTCAGCAACTTCTATAGACATAGCTATCGGCAGAGTCAAAGAGACCTACGAGGATGCTGGAGGAAGCTAAGAAGAGAAAAGGAGAGCAAAGATACAGGACGCAAGAGGCAAGAGGTTTGTAAATATTTTTTTTTTTTTTGTTAAAATTAGAAAAAAACAAAGCGGCATAAAAAAAAAAAAAAAAAAAAAAAATTTAAATTTTTTTTTTTTAAAAATTTTTTTTTTTTTTATTTTATTTTTTTTTTTTTTTTTTTTAAAATAAAAAATTGTTTTTTTTTTTTTTTTTTTAAAAAATTTTTTTTTTAAGTTTTTTTTTTTTTTTTTTTTTTTTTTTCTTTGTATTTCCACTTTCACCTAAAAAAACTTTTTCCCCCATTCCCTTGTCTTTTATAATAAGTTTTTCCCCATTCCAAGGACAAACAAAAAGAAGAAAACTGCCCTTCTGCTTATATTAGGACATTTCTACCAGCCGTTTCCTGTGCAAAGCTAACTGAAACTTCAAATAGGTTAGTCTCCCTTCTCTTGTCTGTTTTGTCTTGTCGCATATTTTTGTCTTGTTACGCCTGTCATGTGTGTTATGCATCGGTCCTGATGTTAATAATACTAATTCATAATTCCCCACCAATGTATTTTGTTTTGAAAATGTAAGGAGTTGAAAGTACAGATATTTGTGTAAAAATGTAGGGGGTAAAAGTACAGTAATTGCCTGGGTGGGCGCCCTGGTAGCTCATCTGGTGGCGCTGGCGGCCCATGTAGCAAGGTTGAGTCCTTGCTGCAGTGGCCATGGGTTCGACTCTGACCTTTGGCCCTTTGCTGCATATCATCCCCTCTCTTTCTCCCCCGTTTTCATGTCACTCTACAGCTGTCACTATCAATTAAAGGCAATAAAAGCCCAGATATATAGAGATTTTTTTTTTTTCTTAAAGTATAGTAATGAAGTATTTGTAGTTTACGTCCCACTGCTGCCTGCCTGGCTACACAAATGGGTGTGTTGTTTAAATTGACTAATTTATTGATGTTTTTGCTCCCAAGATGTTGTGACAATATTTTTTATAATAGTATTTATGTAATGTATGTATTTATGTAGCTCTTTTTGTTTTGTTCTCTTTGTGTTTTTTTCTTCGTATTATTTTGTATGCAAGTAAATCAATTATGAAAATGTTGCTTTGTGATTATCTATTCCAAGATAATTTCAATTTGCAAGTTTCTATATCTACACAGTCCAAAGTTAATTCTTTTAAACTTTTCTTTAAATAAAACAAAAGGAAACTCTACCTCCAGGGCATTTTAAGACAGTATTATTATTTTTCAATTTTAGAATTTTACCCTAACTATCATTAAATATTACAATTATGATTAATATTGGGATGAAAAAGAAGAATGGTAATACTACAATATACAGAGGAAAGTTAAATTGGCCAGCTCAGTCCCACAAGCGTAGTTGCTCTAAAACAAGATGAAACAGGCTGGACTGCTTTTTGTTTCCAGGCTTTATAAAACCTAAATTGTCCCAGGCTGCACTCGTGCTCAAAATGGTATTAAAAGGTCGGAGAAAAAGCCAGATGCCAGACCCAACTCGGCCATAAGAGAAAACATAGTCATACATCAAAATATCAATTCCAAAAATAAAAAGAAGGCAACTAAGGACAAGGAAATAACAGTTTAATGTAGATTTACTCTTCAATGTAACCAGCAAACATATTCACAGTGTTGTTTAGTAGAAAATAAGTTTGCGTGTTAGACTTTTTATTCCCCCCCTCTTTTCCCGAAAAACTTTCCTTTAATTAAAAACGTTCATATACTCTTTCACGCAGCAAGAAATAACAACTTTTTGAAGGTTCCTTTAACATGCTTCTCTCTAGTACTTTATATAGTTTCCAACGGATTTAAAGCTGCAATTAGACAAAAATATAGTGGTAAACAGTCATTTCCAGAAACAAAACAAAAAAACGCATCAAGCTTAGTACACTGCACACGGGTACAATGAAGGCTTGTCTACCCAGTGAGCAATTTCAATTATGAGCAGAGAAAAGCCTTTCAGAGCAGTTCATTCCCCATCTTCGTTGGCAACTTTATTACAGCCAAATGGTCTGTTAACAGTGATGTGAATGTTCCTGACAGAAGAACTTTAAACAGCCACTGCTAGAGAGCCTGAAGTGTATTCAACAAATTTGCACTGTGACTCATGAGTCAGGCAGTTTTTAATAATAAATGTGTGGACTCTCAGTTCAAAGTGCTTTCAACGCAACTGAACATTTCCTGCTCACCCACAGCTTTGAACCTGTGATCCTGCTATCATAATAGGTCCTGTTCGATGATCACAAGAGGCATGTGGGTTTTTAATTTTGTAGTAAGAATGGGATAAATTGGACTGACAATAATGTCCACCATTTCTTGTGTCATGCAACTTTGCACACCGAGTAACACTGTGGAATTTGTAACATTTGCAAACACCTCAGTACTACATAATTAAGAATTTTGAGGGAAGCATTCCTTATTCCTTACTCCATCCAGATGGGAAAAGATGGGATTTAGAAGCAGGTATACTGAATGCCGACTGAAAAATAAGTGGGTATACTCTATATACCTGTGTATACACTGCTACTCAGAGCTAATAGGTGGTTCAACATTGGTGCCAATTAGACTGTGAAGAAGAACAGAGAATATTTCAATGTACTCTATGATCACAGTGGGGCTTGATTTTAAAAGCCACAGTCCTACCACTAGTGTGACTGCTACTGTAACAATGTTGGTCTGGAATTGGACACATTTCAGTCTCAGATGTCGACCTGTTCACATGCATTCACCATTTAAATCACGACACCTTTTTACCACACTATAGGCGTTTTCAGAACAAACTGTTCTGGAGACTCGCACAGTGGAACTGCCCACTGGGAAGCTCCCCTGAAAACTCTACGTTCAAGGGCTTTTATCCAGTTTTTGCTTTCACACTCCCAATAAGAACGATAAGCTGGCCAGCAGTTAGTGTAGCAACGTCCTTTCAGCGCCACAGGCCGGAATATCCAGAATTCTTACATATCTGCTGCATGTGTTTCTACCGTGATGTTTGAAGTGGCTTTTATGCTTCATTGTATGTTTAGTCACGGTACACCATTCACTTTAACTATGACAGATTTGCCATGGACAATTACCTATGGCAAAATGAACTGAATTCATTGTGCATGCACAAGTCCGACCTATCACACAATGTAAGCAACAGTGAAAAAGAATTTGTGCATCCACCCCATCATTCGGATCGGCTCCAAAATTGAATGCGGTCTTCCTTGCCTCATGCTTCACCCATACACCAAGTTTCATGAAAATCCGGCCGGTAGTTTTTCCGTCATCCAGCTGACAGACAAACAAACAGCACTGAAAACTCATGGTGGACGTAATGACAACACCATTTAAGAAGCCTGCTGACAAAATGAATAGCTGTTTCAAACGAATGTCTGCTGCCAGGCTCTGAGCTGGTCCTGTGAATTCCTTCTGTCAGGCAATGCACAGAATGGCTTTGCTAGATGGATTATTCTAGATTCATGAGCATGAACATGATGCTAAAGAAAGTACAGAGCTAAGAATCTAATCAGCAGTGCCATCAACAATAGAGAGAAAGGACTATTCCGCTAATAAATGGGTCTCTGGCTGTGTTGAAATGAACAGCGCATTATTACCATCAGAGCAGCTGGCACTTACATGAATCAATGCTATCCTGTGATAGATATTTTCTAAATTACGTATGAATGAGAACAAAAACCTGGTATTCTAACTGAACCTTTTATTTATTTAATTCATTTTTATATAAGAATTGTAGGTATTAGTGATAAGCGTGGCTATTATGTTTCTCTGTTTAGCACCATTTTATTATGCTGATTCAATTTACAGAATATACTTTGTTAGTTGCAGTTTAACTGAGGAAAACTGAAGAAAATGTTGTTAATTATAAATATGTTTAAATATATAAGGGATCAAGATGTTTTTTTTAATATTGTTTTAGCTTTGCTGCTAGCATCATGGCTTTTTGGGTGGTAATGTGAGTATGTGGTGAGGTGGTCCAGACTGAAGTATCTGTCGGATGGATTGCCAAGACATTTGGTGCAGACAATTATGGTCTTTGGAGGTTGGAAGTAAAAAACAATATAAATACTTTGTTTCAGGTAGCTTTATACACAAATTTGAGAAGAATTATTAATCATTAATTACTATTATTTTTTGAATCATTGCACAACTTCTTCTGAAGACAAGCCATGAGGAAAATGACCCAAACACAAAAGACGTAACAAGATGAAAATGAAAACAACAAGACAAAAGAGAGAGCGACCTTATTTGAAATTTGTTATTTTTGCACAGAAACAGACGGTAATGTCCCTCAGAGAAACAAAGAGAGTAGAGAGTCTTTTTAAAAAAAAAACCATAAATATCTGTTATTCAACTTGACTGAAGAACGTGTGTACTTTCACCTCCTCTGATGGTCTCTGAAGGATGAAGCCCCTAAATTTTGGGTTTTAAACTACATATCACTACAACTGTTTACATAGTTTACTGCATAAGAGGATGAACCTTAATGATTTCAGTGATACCCTGATGTATCATCTACCACCAGCAGGTCAGTTTTCACTTCTCCAGTTACATCTCAATCTGTCAGATTAATTTATACAAAATTGTCATGGTCACTACAGGATGATACCTAATGAATTTGATGATCCACTGACTTTTCCTCTAGTGCCGGCATAAGAATGATGATTTGGGAAATATCTCTCAAATCACAATTATTAGATGGATTGCCATGACATTTGGTACAACCATTCATGTCCCCCTCAGAATGGATTGTAATAACTTTGGTGATCCCTTTAACTTTTCAACTAGCGCCATCATCGTGTCATATTATGAATAAATACTTGAAAAACTAATGACATTCCCATCCATTTCATCGTCAACCCTCATCATTACAATGTATTTCTCATCCTGTCTGGATACAATTCCTGTGCTCTTCTGGTTTAAAGTACGGTTTGGTGCTGATGAAAGTCCAGTGTGTATGTATTAGAGTATTTTTCAGGTTGATCACTGTATCTCACATATTCATGTTTATTTGACAATTCATTATTGCTGACTAACATCTGACCAAAATCCAACAAAAAGAAGTCTTCAAATGATGTCAAAATCACTCCTGAATGCAGCTGTCACCACCAAATATTGTCAGTTTAGAACCACTTGAAAGCCCAACCAGTATTATGAATAGGAATTGATTTTTACTGTCATGTTGCATCTACGGCTAACAAGCCCTCAGTGACGTGAAACAATCATATCGTGGAGAACGACTGGATTTCCTGGCGACTTTCCAGTGCAGGATTATCCCCGTGGTTTGCAGTAGCCCCTCGTCTCCGACCCTGTCACTACCGATTGCCTGTATTTGCAATTATGCCTTGTTTACTTCTGTCATTCCCTTCAGCTGTGGCAAGATGCTTATGTAACACAACATGCGATGCATGATCATCAGCGCTGCTCT